AAAAAAATGCATATTCTTGCATCTGAGACTTAATTATAATCTCCAAGAAGAGGTCTAGGAAATAAATTTAAGTAAGTGCCTCTCCTGCACACATTACATTTTGAGAATTGTTTCTTTAGGAATATTACTTGGTACTCTATTATGTCCTTTGATCCCTTAGTGGAAGTCCCTGTAATTTCCTGCAAGCTGAGGATGAGGCCTCCTTACAAAAACAGATTTTGACCTGTTGTCAAGCAATAATCAGAATAAATACCCCCAGCCTTTCTGTGAAACAACACCTTACAACCCTAAGATGGGGCTAAGATTTGCCACCCTAAGGCCTTGGGTTATAAAGTAACCTACCGAGAAGGGAACCTGGCCCAGGCTGTATCCTCCTAACCACAGCATCCAAGCCATCCACCTTAGCAGTTGGCAGCTGAGAGCAGAGACTCCTACTCAGTTCATATTATGACTGTAGGGCACTCTCAGCTCTCACACATCAGCCTAGGTAAGTAATGCCACTGCTTAGACCTACAGGGAAGGAGAGAATCCAAGAGCTAAATCCCAGTGGCTTAAGACACAGATGTATTACGCCAAAGAAATCATCTTTCCAACCTTGGTTAGCTACAGGGTGAGGAGGAATTTTGGTGTACGAGGATCTGCCCTCTGCAAGAGGGACACAGAAATAGGTGTGTGAGCTGCTTTTAGGATACCAAGCAGAAAAGTCAGGGATAATGACCATGTCAGCCCCCAGTGAGATTGGGCTGTGAGTTAACATACCTGGAATTTGGCAGTTGGCAGTGGTCATTGGCCATTGCTTTTGACCCTGTGAGGGCAGCTGGCAATCAGACTCCTATGTGTCTCTCACTTTCTAGAACCACCTCTCTAATTTGAAATGGAAACTAGGGGGAATGGCTTTCAAGTGTCCATTAGATGAGAGAGAGCAAAAGCAGAACTAAGCAACAGTAATCTCCCCTAATGCATGACTCACTGGCGTCCAACACTGGAGTTTCTTTCAGTAAGAAATGGGCATACTTTTCAATTGTCTGATGTGGTCAAATCCCTAGAGCAAATAAAATCCAAAGTTGGGTAAGTATCCCCAATAACATGTTAGAAGAACAATTACAACTTAAATGCCTACAGGGACCAAATAAGTAAATGAAAGAAGTTGGTTAGAGAGAGCAGAAGAGCATTCATTCCCATACAAAAGGCAAATCAGACTTAGCTCCCCACCACTGGTGCCTTGAGAGTCCATGGGCCAGCTTCATTCTCAAAAGGGGATTCATAAAATCTGAAATCTTATATGAACTTCCAGATCTTTAAATATTGGTCCCTAGTTCAGTCTTCTCTCCAAACACCATGTAGAGGAGGGAGAAATCTTACATTTGTAGGCTGGATGCATCCCTGGGGCCACCGGTTTGCAGCATCACCATCAGATGAGTCCAGTGAAATGCCTGAGAAACCGACCAATATTTGGCATTTCAGTAAAGCTACTGATGGAAAATTTGTTCTTTGCTATGCAAACAATTTAGCTGATAACATCAAGACTGCTGTTAAACTCATCAATTGTAATTAATGGTAAGACCTCAGTGCCAGACCCATAACTCTGTTAGGAAGAGAGACGGCAGCCACCCACAGAGGCAGCTTACTGGTGACCTCAGAGTTGCATGCTGAGCAAACATGCCTTACTGCAATTTTTCAGCAATATCTGTGGTGCAGTCATTCACACCCACATCATTCACGCCCACGCTGCATCAGTCACAAGAATGAATTGCAGCAGAAGTCTGTCCCAAAAGAAGCTGAATTTACTCTTAACTCCAATAAGAAACCTATAAATTCTGCTAAAGACTGTATATGTATTCTCCCCAAAAATAACCCAACTAAGATTGCCTTTTCAGTCAACACATCTAATTTTGGTACTCTTGACCTGAATGAATGAAAAAAATGTATGCCTCTTTGGTAGTGTCTCATGATTTAATTAAGGACCAAAGAATAGAACCAGTGATAGGCTCTTTCTGAGTTAAAATGGACGGAGAGACCATTTCCTGGCTCCTCTGTTTTACACTCCAGGAATCTGAGGCTTCACCACCATCACATAATTAGGAGCCCGTTCCTTCGTGAACGGAGAAGTGGTGTCTGGAAACCAGATTATCCTAACACACTTCAGTGACCACTTCCTACCACACAGGAATCATTCTGAGCACGTAGAGAAACACAGAGATACTTTTTCAAGACCAACTTTGTTATTTGTATTAACAGTAATCATTTCGATTCAATGTGCTTCTAATTTTCCATGTATTTTTTTAAAGATTTATTCATTTGAGAGAGAGAGAGCACAAGCAGGGAGAGGGGCAGAGGGAGAGGGAGAAGCATGCTCCCCACTGAGCAGGGAGCCTGATGCAGGGCTCGATCCCAGGACTCCGGGATCATGACCTGAGCTGAAGGCAGATGCTTAACCGACGGAGCCACCTAGGTACCCCCTAATTTTCCATATTATTCCTGCATACATTCGGTAACTTTGCAGCTCATAACCAACCCATGAATGAGGTTGGGCAAATGGATCTTGTTCAGTTTTTCTAAGAAAGAAGGTGAGGGCTGGAAAGATTTATATAAGTTTCACAAGGCCCCACTTGGCTAATTATTGACTGAGCTAAGACCAGAATCCAAGTGCTCCTGCTGTTTTCCCTTGCTATTTTTTCATTTGTACAACAAATATTTAATGAGCACCTGCTATGAACCAAGTTTTGCATCATGTACCTCTGAACAAAGACTTGCCCTGCCTTCATAGAGAATATCTTAACCTACTGGAATCCATCGTGAACGCCTTTTGTCACAAACAGCCTCATTCCTCATCTCTAATTGGGTTAATAAGATTCACCAGAATATTTCCTTAAGAAATAGTCGACGTACTTCCAAGCCTCAAATCCTTTCCTTTTCTTGTGCTGCACTAGGCTATTTAAAGAACAATCTTCTCCACCCTCCCTCCCAATACTTGCAAGAAACAGGAAAGCAGAAAGATCACACAGGAAAGATTATTCTAATCTGTTTGAATCTGCACTTGCATAGAGTCCCTTATTTATTTGCCCAGGAAAATTAACACTTGGGCTGGGCAGGCGTGATGCCTTTAAATCTTAAAAGGAAGACTATTAGTAGGACATTTTAGTAGGCTTGTTGTTGTCCACACAATGCAAGAGTAGTTAAATCCATTCAAATGAGATGTTAATGTGTTGATTCCTGAGGCAGTTGATTCCTGAGGCAGTTGATTCAGTGTGGAGGGAAGGTTTATTTATTTAATCATTCTACTTGCTCTCCCTTATCCCAAGTCACTCTATGTTATCATGGATATTGAATAATATGAACATGTTACTATATTTTGAATAAGGTGTAGCAGGCATTTGAAATGATTATTTACTTTTAGTCCTAACAACCTTGTGAACTAGGTATCGCTCTCCCACTTACAAAGATGAACAGATCGAGAGGCTAGATGAGTTGCCCCAGGATTTAAGCCTAAAGAACCCATGCCCTTAACCCAATCTACCACATTGCAAAAGCCCCGGCTGAAATGTGTTTATAACACAAAGTGCACACATATTGGGAATGTGGCTAGATTTATGAGGCCTTCCAACCACAAATTAAGCAAGATACTGTTCATACGATTCCCTGACCCCAAATCCACAGCCAGATAGCATCACCTTGGACCACTCTGTTGTCCCCATTGTCAGTTCCTGTCCTGAGAATCTCCCCACCCAGCACCACCCTGCTCCATGACTTCTAAAGGTATGATGGGGATTTGAAGTCAGCTGACAGTGACAACCCCTGGCAATTCTCACTGTTTAGCATGTTCCAAAAACATGCTGGGTGTTTAGAAACCATGTCACATGTGAATAGTTATACTTAGCATGTGAAAGAGGGAAACTGTGGTAGCTGAACTTGGGTATTTGAGAACCAGTGTGTGATAGGGGCTGTGGACTAATTAGGCGTCTCCAACAGAACAAAGACGAGTGGGTAGAAGTTCTGGGGAGAACATGTATGTGTCGAAGAGAGGACTTTGGGATGATTGGTGCTGCCCAGTAGTGGGCAGGGATGCCTTTTGAGGTGGGCATGTTCTTCAGGCTGAGGCTAGACACTCCCTTGTTGGGGATACCCCTGTACAAGAAACTCTTGTGTTGGGCGGGAGATTGGAAGTCCTTCCGCTTCTCAGAGTTGGTTACTCCTCAATTTCCAAACCTTGGTTCTGGGAAAGCTGTTGAGAATCGTGCCAGCCCAACATAGATAAAGTTTGTCAGCCACCCTGGAAGAGTCCAACTTGTGATGGCAGATTCTTCTCATTCAGGAGCATAGCACGATGCAGAAGTTGCACTGCACACAAGTTGACAAAATTGTGGCACAGTATGACAAAGAGAAGTCGACGCATGAGAAGATTCTAGAGAAGGCCATGAAGAAGAAGGGGTAATGGCTCTTTATTTCCTTCTGGAAGCTTTTTGCCTTTTTATATTTTGTCTTTCCCCACAGTTCAGTTAACTGCTTAGGTCAAGGCAGAACTTAGTCTTGACTGTGTTTTCATCCCATTAAAAATTTTTCCTGGAAAATGAGAGACTCATTCAACTGAAGGCAGGGATTGAAGTAGAAAATAGGAGCTTTATTCCAGTTGGACAGCCATTGGTTGATGACACCGTAACTATGTCCCTCATGTGTTTTCCACTTGGGTATCTTTAAGGTGAATGGCGGGGGGAGAAGGAAGGACAAGCTAAAGTTGGGAACTTTTGAAATTACAGAAATCCTTTTGCATAGCCAGAAAATAAGTTTGATGCACTTGTGGGGAAAAAAAATGCAATCTCGATTTTTAATATTAGAAGAATCTTTAGCTTATGCCAACAGATAAGACTGTTAAATAAACCCTATCAGTGCATTTAACATAAAAGATTTTTGTCTAGAATTAAGCCAGGGGGATGTTTCTGTGATGCCACAAGCTCTCCAAGTAACAGACTAAAGGGAGAGCATCCTTGGTGCCAGCCCTTGAGAAGTAATAGATTTGATGAGAGTCCTAGCATTTTTAGAATAATGCTTTTCTCAGAGACGTTCTCAATAAGATAATGAAGCATTCTCACTTAGGCCATAATACATCAGAGCGTATATGCTGAAGACAGAAGCTCGGGACCTGTTCTGGTTTCAGCAATGCTACAGATATTCCAAAAGGGAAAAATTATCACTGAAATAAGCAGTAATGGTTGCTGGGAAATTGCCTCGTATGTATTTCCTAGTCACAATGGAATAAGAAGCAAAAATTGCCCTATAATGCCAAGAAATGCTATTTTCTGCCTTGCTGGCATGTGTAAAAGACAAAAATCTGGCTTTATAACCAGAAAGAATTTAAAAATTCACTTCCAGGCTGAGGACCTCTTTTCTAGTTATTATCTCCAATAATATTTTATTGAATAAATGAAAAATTAGCCTCAAGAAAAGCAGGAACCAAAATGGAAACTCTGACAACAGACTCTTCACAATGAAATCATTGTTAGATGTGAAGTGTCTCTTTGTGTAGTGGTTGAATTGAGTAATCATGATGTGGATGTTTTGTAAGGTGTACATCTATTACTAGAAATACTGATGTTGCCCAATGAGCCATGGCGTCCCATGTTTGATGAACAAATTGTCTTCATTAGAAAGCTTTGGAGCAAGGGCCCATGGGAATGGGAAGATATCTAACATCTGGCACATGTTTATGATTTTCCATTTTCAGGGGAAGTAATTGTCTCGAAATGAAAAAAGAAACTGAAATTAAAATTCAGACACTGACATCAGATCACAAATCTAAGGTAAGAAAATGCCTATTTTTACAGCAGGAACTTGCAGAAGATACTTTGTAATTT